AGGTAGCCTGGACCAGCTTATGGATCTAGCAGCTCTGAAAGAAATGGGCCACAGTATATGCCCAACAAAAGAGAAATAGACATTGACTTCACATTTCTAATACCAGGGCCCTGGTCATTAAACTTAATTTTTAAATCATTTATATGACTTAATGACTCTGCATGAAATTTTTAAGCTGGAGGCAAGATAAATAGCACTACAGAGATAATGCAGATGAGGAGAGTGTCATTTACCTACCCTCGTCCAACTAACAAGGGATAGCTGGGGTACTGTAATATGTCCTGAACATTTCAATTATAATGTCATCAACTTAGGACACAAGTGAAAAAGATATTGGCATTTATAAGAGATTGATGAAAATTAGTTTTAAAGCATTAATTTCTCTTAATACCACTAAAAGAACTGTGTGCACCCAGGAGATATTTGATCTGAATTAAGAAACTGATGAAGCAATTGATTGATTGGAATTTAAGCCATCAGTCACCAGATCCATCAACAGCTTCATTTACATTCTAAACAATCCACTCACAGCTCAATAGAATACTCCGTATTAATACACAGTCAATGTGATGCCATGAACAGACTCACCAAGCTGTATTGACAAGCACCCAGCTGCTGTTGTCCAAGCTTGAACACACTGTTATATCTAGGACTTCTGTATTGACTAAGGTTTAAAGACTTTAATTACAGTAAATAATATACAAGTTTTTTTTTTATGTTGGTGCATTATAGTCATACATAAGACTAGCCTTCATTTTAACATACTCAAAAATGTATATAAAATGCGTAGATCCGTTTCAATCCCCAGGACTTCCCCTTTCCCTCCCATTCTTCCTCCTTTGATCCCCTTCCTCTTTTCTACTGGTCTTCCTTCTATTTATTTATTGCTTTGTAAACAYTGCAATATAGTTAAACATAAAAGTAGTTCTGCGACATACTCACACATGCCATAACATAATTTGGTCAGTTTCATTCTGCAGTTCCTCCCCTTCCCTATTCCTCCCTTCTTCTCAATCCCCTTCCTCTACCCCACTATTCTCACTTCTGTTTTCATTAGATTTTATATATAAAGAATATATATATATATATTAGATTTTATATATAAAGAAAAAAAAATATATATATATATATATATATATATATATATATTCTTTATTTCTCTCTAGCTTCTGTAGGAAAAACACTTGACTCTTAACTTTCTGAGTCTGGCTTAGTTCACTTAGCATGACATTCTCCATTTCAACCATTTACCAGGAAATGACATTTAATTTCATTCTTCTTTGTGGCTGAGTAGAACTCTGTTGTGTTTATGTTTATACCACATTTTCTTTATCCATTTGTCTGCTGACAGGCATTTGGACTCGTTCCATAACATGGCAATTGTGAACTGTGCTGCTATAAACATTGGTATGCATTTATCACTACAGTTTGCTGATTCTTACCTCTTTTGGATAAAATACAAGGAATGGGACAGCTAGGTTATATGGTGGTTCCACTCCTAGTCTTTTGAGAAATTTCCATATTGCTTTCCAAAGTGGTTGTGCTGATTTGCCATCATGCTCAACATATGCTTCAACAAGGAGGAGAATATGGAAGGAACTGTCAGTCTGAGGGCCCCAATGCTCCCGGTGATATTGAAGGTGAAGTCATAGGCTGAGACTGAGTGTGCAGGTGGTGAAGGCAAACTGAAGCAGAGACAAGAAAACTCCTTTCAAGATGATGTGTGGGCAGTCAGGAAGAATGTCTTGAGGTTCACAGAGCTGTGTGTCTCCTCTGCCACCAGATGTGGGAGAAGAAGAACTTGAGGGCCAGGGAAGCAGGGTAATGGGGCAAAGAGGGTGTGTGGGAATAGCAATAGTAGTTTTACAGGAAGGTATATTTGTTAATACGCTTTAACATATAAGATATACTTTAAATGAGTGCACCTAACTGTACATAAACTTTCCTGAATAAAGCTAATTATATTTAAAAAGCAAAGATTAACAGAATAGAAGGAAAAAAATCAAGATTCAACTATACACTGTCTACAAGAGACACACTTTAGACTAATTCAAAGACACAGAAGGCTAAAGATAATAGGAAACAATGTGAACAGTAAGCAATAGAGAGCGGGCATCTCCAGGACACGTTAAAATGATCAAAGGGCCAATCCATCCAGCAGACAGCTATGTGTAACCCAAACAACAGTCATAAATACATGAAGGAGAAATAGAAACAACAGCAAAAATAGCTGCAAGCTACACCACTTTACTTTCCACCATGAACAGAATAACTAGATAGAAGACAATAAGATGTGACCAATGCTGCAGACCCACCAGAACTGACAAACACCCACCGACTGGACATGCCACATCTCAGTGACAAAACACTGAGCCTGCTCTAGAGCACAGGGGCTCACTTCAGAGCACAGATCTGGGTCAATCTGCCTGAGGCCACAGAGTGTGTTCTCCAACCGCAACAGAATGAAACCAGAAATCAGCGATGGTAGGAAATTTAGAAAAATCCACAAATACCTGGAAACTAAACATCTTCATCATCAAACAATGGGTTAAAGAAGAAATCACAAGCAAGATTTAACAATGCTATTGAGAGCATGAAAAGGAAAACACAACATACCAAACTTTTTGGGATGCAGCAACAGCAGCATTTGGGTGGAAATGTAATTTTAATGCCTATACTATAAAGACCTCATCTAACTTTCCACCTTAAGAAAATAGAAGTACAAAAGAAAACAGAACCCAAAATGAATGGAAGGAAGTAATAAAGACACTGAAATAAGAAATAGAGAGTAACTGAAAAAAATTATTAAAACCCAAAGTTAGTTCTTTGGAAAGATCAACAAAATCAACAAACCTTTAGCTGGAGTGACTAAGAAAAAGAGGAGCATCACATTATTAAAATCAAGAACAAAGGAGAGGACATCACTACCATCACTGAGGAAATAAAAAGTATTACAAGGGAATACTAAGAACAGTATGCTAACAAATTAGATGGATACAATGCACAAATTCCTAAAAAGACATGAACTGCCAAAACTAACTCAAGAAACAATCTGAAAAGGCTTCTAACAAGAAAATTAGTTTAAAAAAAAAAACCTCAAAATAAAATCTAGTCCCAGATGACTGCATGGGTGACTTTTACCAAACATTAATGAAGAATTCAATAATAAWTCTTCATAAACTTCTAAAAAAGTTGAAGAAGAAAGAACACTTCCTAACTCAAAGGCCAGGACTATACTACCTTGATACCAAAGATATTATACAGAAAAAGAAAACAAACAATCAATATATCCTTTATGAACACAGAGGCATAAATCCTTAACAAAACACTTGCAATCAAAAATCCAGCAGCACAGGCTTATGTGCTGAGACTGAGAGGTATCTGTTCTGGCATGTATACACAGCCAAGGAGATGGGTCTCCCAGGGGCCTCACCAACAGAGTTCCCTCACCATCTGGCAGACTGCTCTATGCAACAGAGCACTGCACCGAATATGCCCTRTGATGAAGGAAGCCTATCATTGTGTTGCTGCAACACTGAGGTAGCCTCACTGCACTCCAGGGAATGACTAGAAATACTTGGAAATGGAGTACTTTATACTCCAATGCTACCCAATGATAGTTTCAAAATACACATGCAAAAACTCTAAAAGCAAATCATACTACTTGTAAAGAAAAAGAGAAGTCTTCCAAAACAGAGATCAAGAAGACAACACACTAAGGAACAACAGCTATGGTAAAGAACAAACTAGCAACTTCAGTGCTTCACAATAGAAATTTATCCCTCCCCCCAACAGAATCCATTTGGCAATGGAACGGGAGAAGCTTTATTCCAAATGCAGTCATTCAGGAAGCCACAATGATGAAAGTTCTGTGCCTTCAACCAGCAGTTTCCAAGGCTGCCATTGAGCTAGAAAGGAAACAGTAGGCACATCGAAAAGTATGTGGAAGACTTTCAGCTCCTACTCTCCAGGACAGAGCCCAGAGGCATGGATCCACTTCACTGGACAGGATAAACTAGGAAGGAGCCCAGCTGTTTCCAAGAGGTGCAGAGTACCTTACCAATGTCTGTCCCAGTTAGGAACCTAAGAACTCACATTAAATAACACATGATTCAGTAAAGAACCGAATCCATAGGTCACTTAATTCTAAGGTTAACTCCTCTGCTGATGACAGCCTTCTTTGACAAGGTGAATAACTACCAACTATATAGCTGGCCAAAAAAAAAAAAAAGTATTCACACTAGAAATAATACATACGTTAAACACACAAACAAATGACAATATGCTGAGCTTCCTACAAAATCATGGTTCACGTACTCAATGAGTTTGAGAAATGGGCAGAAAGAAGCTCTGGACACACGTTGACTAACTGCCCTCAGTCCACAAAGCCAGGTCACACAATCAGGAGCTGACTAGAGACTCAGATGAAGAATTAACAGATTTTCTACATGGCCTCTCCAGTCAACCACATGAGGCTTCCCTCCCCTTACTCTTTCCACTTTTTACTTATTCAAAGTTCAGGCCATCTAAATGTTGTTTTTCCTGTGAAGAGTAAGGCAACTCACCTAGGCAGCACTCTCACATAACCCTAACAGCTCTTGTCACCACTATGGTCATTGTATGTATGGACTTCTATGGATTTTATTCTCTCTTGTAAGCAACAATTAATGCCTGGTATGAAGGAAGTGGTAAGTAAATAACTATTTGCTGAACCAATGAATAAAATTGCAAACACAAAACAGCAATCTAGTTTTGAGCAATGACATCATTTAATTAATTAGATCTGAATATGAAAGGATGAAAAACTAATTAAGGTACACAGGTTGTGACAGGATTATTTAAGCCACCTTTGTAAATATAAAGAACTAAAGATTATTAGAAACTAATAAATTCAAAATATTATCAGGGAAATTTTTATAGGCATAAACTTAACTCTTACTTCTTAAAATAACAAACTGACAAAATACTGAATCAACAACAGTGCAAAAAAATAAAAATACCTGCTTTCTCTGAAGTTCTAAGAAATACCATGTCTGATGGAATTCTTTGATTCTGCAAAGAATAATAAAAAAAATTAATTACCTATATGAAGCTTTACAAATTACATTATTCCATTACAAAGTAAAACAGCTAACTACAATAATGTCATCATTAAAATTATGTTGAAATAACTAATATGTTATTAGTTATTTTAATACATCATCTAGAGATGTAAATGGCATTTAGCAATGACTTACGAAACGCTTTGTGTCGGAAAAGTGCTAAATATTGCCGTTTTCACGGCTTCTATTGCACCTTAACTCACACAATAGCTACTGCCTTATAAAAATTCATCCTAAACATTAGATGAAAAAGCCCTACAGAGTGAGGGCAGTGACTGTCCAATATCCAACACAKAACAGCACATCATTAAAATACAGTGAATTAATAAATGAGTGACTAAGCAAACAAAATCTCACAAAATAGAAGAGCTCTTCTTTTATGACAGAAAAGGAACTCAAAGATATATAGCACATAAAAATTTTTACTAGTCACAATTCAAACATTTAATCATCATTATAATCATTTTATCAATTGGAAACCCTAACGGGAGGGGGAAATCAAGCTAAAAAAATATGTACTTAAAATAAGAATATTTCACATAATTTTCTAAATATGTGTACTTTTCCATATGACAAAGAAATGGCCTAGTCAATAAGTACTAGTAAAAACAAATATTAAGTTGTTAAGGCTGAAATATTATGCTGGATACTGCTATTCTTTCTAACACTACAAAGAAGCATGACCAGTAGATCTCGAAAGGACAAAGATCTCTAAAGGTCAAAGAAGGAATCACAGTAGAAATTAGAAAATATTTTAAACCGAAAAGATAATAAAAACTTGACAAGAAAGTGAGTACAACAACCAAAGTCAGAAATATGTCAAGAGGAAAATCACATAAATCAATGCGTACAAAAGAACAGAAAAGAGGCTTGATGTCATCAATTTTGGAGCTTGAAAGGAGGGGAAAAAAATAGCCAATAAATTCCAAAGAAACCACATGGATGTAAATACATGTAACGGCAAAACTTAATGACACAGAGAAAAACATGTACTGTTATGGTTTGGGTCATAAATGTCCCCTAAAGCTTGTGTGTTAAAGACTTGGATCCCAGCAGGGTGGTGCTATTGGGAGATGATGGACACTTGGAAGTGTGGCGTAGTTCAGGAGGAACGTCCTTGGGGGCATGCCCTTGAAGGCCATATCTTGTCCCTAGCCCTTTCCTCTACATACAGGTGTGCTTTCTTCCCCTCTCTTTCAGCTTCAGAGCCATCATGAGATTAGCAGTTTTGCTCCACCAAAAAGCTCCCCACCATGCTGTTCCACTTCACTTCAAGCCCATAGCCTGGATCCAAGCAACTATGGGCTGAAATCTCTAAAACTATGAGACCTAACAAATCTTTCCTTCTTTGTTTTTCTTATGTAYTCTGTCATAGCAATGGAAAGCTGACTAACACACACACAAATAGATAGATACATGGATAAATACCAGTAACAAACAGCAAAAAAGTAATATTAAACATGTCCATTTCAGTAATAAAAAAAAATCAACATTAGAATAAACTAATAAAAGATGCTCAAGACCTCTAATGAAAAATATAAAACATTACTAGAGAAATTAAACTTAAAATGTATCCTGCTCAGAAATTACAATGTAATTGCAAAGTTGTCAAATGCCCATAAATTGAAACTTACAAACAACATACATACAAACAAAATCTTAGTTGATTTTTACCCCCCTCTATTTTGGTGGGAACTGATAAGGGTTTCTCTCAGCTATACAGGGAGCTGTTAGGGCCAAGAATAACCAAGAAGAGAGTGAGGACTGACTCTACAACTTAATGACACTAGAAATAAAACTGGACCAATTAATACAAGATAGCATTACACCAAGGTAATTATGCCCATGCAAAACTGGGAAATCCAGAGATGAGCACACATAGATTTATAGGGTGGCATTACAGACCAACAAAAAAAAAATGGTCTTTTCAATAAAAAGTACTGATAAAACTGGATGCCCAAAGGGAAGGTGAGAAATGATACCTGACCTCTATGCCACACTATAGTTTTAAATGTGAAAGTAAAACCAGCAAAATCTCTAAACGATAATCCAGCATTTATTTTCTTTCTCTGCTTAATTGTCTTGTCACTAATTATATATTATAATAGTGTTTTATGACTTTTTTGTAGGAATTTTTTATTTTATTTTATATTTTTGGTACTGGGAAATGAACCCAGAGGCACTTTTCCATTGAGCTACATCCTCAGCCCCTTCTTTATTTTTTATGTTAAAACAGGGTCTCGCTAAGCGGCTGAGGATCTTCGTAAGTTGCCCAGGCTGCCCCTGAACTAGTGATTCTCCAGCCATAGCCTCCCCAAGAATTAGGATTACAGTAAGTGCTCATCACCACCAGAAAATTTTTAAAAAGAAAAAAGAACTAGGCATAAATGAGAAGATTAATAAWGTATAATTCATTAAAATTAAGAACTTCTGCCCGCCAGGAAGGAAGAAAGAAGATACGTACGGCACATATAACAACACTGATTCACAATACATGAAGGCCTACACACTGACCAGAAAGAAGGGCTAATTAAGGGAAAACAAAACTGCAAGATATCTTCAAGGTCTATTTACTAATACCAAACCTGCACTACCATATGAAAAGATACCCAACTGACTAGACTTCAGAGAAATGTACACTAGGATCACAACTACAACATTCACATCACAAATGTAAATTAAAACAGCTGGCAATGCAAGTGCTGGCAATGCAAGTGCTGGCAACCGTGAAGTCACTGCTGATGAGAGCATAAATGGATATGCCACTTTGCACAGAACACACTCATACCCAACACCCATTGCACTCCTGGGTTCATGTGCAACATCCATGTGTGCATGTACATGTCAGAAGACAGTTCAACAACACAGATATATCTACCACTCCTGAGGGCAAACCTCAGAAGCAAACCAAATACCCATTAATTGTGGAATGAATAAGGGGCACCTGTCCACACATTTTTTTTTTTAGGGGATTAAATCAACGGGTGCTTAACCACTGAACCACACACATCCTGCCTGGTCCCCACCATGTTTTTGAGACAGGGTCTCACTAAGTTGCTTAGGGCCTCAATAAGTTRCTGAGGCTGGCTTTGAACTTGTGATCCTCCTGCCTCAGCAGGATTACAAGCATGTACGGTATCTGGCCTCATTGAATTTTTGAAGCATCCTTATCAAGAATCAACAAATTAACCACAAATTTCAAGCTTTACTCCCAGATTCTCAACTTCAAAAACAGACTAGTATATGCTGTAAAAATTACTGGAACTTTGAAATGAGTATGCAAAACTTGTTCAACTTTTCTCAAAATTGTTTTCCACGGAATTCTAGAGATCAGCTTGGACAGTATGGATCTACAGATCAGTTTGGAGAGTACTGACATTTTAACAAAATTACCATTTGTATCTATCAGTATGGGATGTCTACATTTACTTAGGTCTTCTTTAACATGTTTCAAAAAAGTTTTCAATTTTCAAACTACAAGATTTTTATTTCTTTTGATAAATTTATTCTTAAGCATTTTATTCATTTTAATACTACCATAAATGAAATTTTTTCTTAATTTCACTTCAGGCCATTACTCTTCATTCTCTAAACCCGTCTTATTTTCCAAGGAGTCATACATGAACAAGATGATGTCCAGTTGTTTTTAGATACTATTTGTTTATTTATCTCCCCTTAAAACCATGACCATTCTGTAAGGAGCACCTTGTTTTTCCTTAGCATGCTTCCCCATGGTGCTGACACACAACAGTATGTCTGCCCAGTCAAATCTGTTCACAACTTCAGGACTCTTTCCAATTAGGAATTATTATGAAAAATGGAGATGTAAACTTTCCAAAACAGGATGCTGTTTCGACATAACTTATAATGTCTCTCTGTGTAAAGGTATTTATAAGTTTGACTATTGGCCATATAATCGTAGCACATTTGTTTTATTTTTAAATAAACATATTTCAAACACTGAAAAAAAATGGGTTCCAAACAAGAATCGTGTATCCAGCGAAATTAAGCTTCAGGATGGAAGATGAAATTAAAACCTTCCACGATAAACAAAAGTTAAAAAGAATTTGCAGCTAGAAAACCAGCTCTTCAAAACATCCTTGGCAAAACACTACAGGAAGAGGAAATGAAAAATAACAATGAAAACCAACAGTGGGAGATAGTASAGTAAAGGAAAAAATAATCAAAGAGGAAAAATAAATCATGTTAAGTAACATAAATAAACAAATACGGCTGGAAGTACAAACCATATCTCAATAGTAACCCTAAATGTTAATGGCTTAAACTCACCAAT